CCAAGACTAAGGAGAGCTAGAGATATGGGTCAGTGATGGTTCTCGCTAGGACTCAAGAGGCCCTGGGTTCAGTTCCTAGTACTGGGAAGAACAAAACAAAAAACAGCTAATGAGAAAGTTTTTAGGGAATATGAGAAAACATTGGCCAATGTAACTGAACAAGGACTGGCAGCTAACATTAAATGAGACATAATCTTTAAAGTGCTAGCATAAATTTATCGGAACAGAATCCTATACCCTGTGGCAATATTAACCTCGAAATACAGATACTTGGGAGCTGATTACTAGTGCATACTCAGAGATGGTGTAAGTTAGGACTGCAAGCTAAAACCCTAGTTAGAACAGTACAGCATGGAAGAAAACCAGCAGCCAGGCATGCCCCCAAAGCAACAACACTAGGAGGTGGAGTCATGATTTTCACTGGACTGTATGCACACTGGAAAGTCTAAGATTGACATCAGATTTCTATCGGACTCAGCGCTATCAAGTGAGCTTGGGTGCTTTGTGTCAGTCATTAACGTTGCTTTGAAGATTCTAGTCACTCAGACTGGCTTCAGAAGTAGTTGGTTTTTCTGTTTCTTTTCATTGCAGGCATTTTAATGATTCCAGTAAAATTAAGCATCAAGAAAACAAAAATGGAAAGCAGCCAACACTTATAACTATAACTCGTCTCATTAGTGCTCAAATGTAGTAAAAGCTTTGTGTACTCAGAATGTGTGTGAGCGTGTGTTGAGAAATGGTCTCTCTAGTATGTAGTTGTAGTTCTGCTTGTCCTGGAATTCACTTTGTAGATGAGGCAGGTCTCAAACTCACAGAGATCTACCTGCTGGGATTAAGGGCCTGTGCCACCACACCTGGCTCAGTATAAACAAGTTGAATAGAGAAAACAGTGACCAGCTGGGTGTGGTAGTGCAGGCCTTTAATCCCAGCATTCTCACAGGAAGTAGATGTAAGCAGATCTCCATGAATTTCAGGCCAGCCTGGGCTACAAAGAGAGATCCTGTAGTAAAACAAACAAAAAAGAAAGTGAAAATTAAAAAAAAGGCATGTTATTGGCTTTTTTTATGTTCTCTTACAAGAAACATTTCAAGAGTTGACTTTTCTCCTCACCCCACTCTCACACACGTCCACATTTTCACTTGTCACCATTAGCCACTGCCTTCGTAGAACTCTACTATGTGAATGTGTATTTTTTGATCACTCACAACCCTAACAATGCTATTCACAAAAAGTTTAGAGAGGAAGGAATTTAAGAAGTATTAAGTAGCAATATGGTCTTCCAGCCTGTGATGGTACATATGATAAAACTCCAGCTGATTAAGAAAGAATCCATGATGTAGTGATATTAGTCACTTTTGATGGAGCTATGGCCTTTGATCAGATAATGAATGACTGATTGTACCTCTACAATTTATTTTTGAGTGCTGGGGAACAAATCTGGGGCCTTACATTTGGTAGGCAATTTCCACCAAATAACCTGGTTAAACCCAAATTTCCTCTCTTTCTGATGGCTGAGTTGCAGGATTGGAAAGGACTGATTTGCTTTGATTGAATCTGGAATGAAATACAAGCATGCAATTTAGTTTAGAAGACAGAAAATCTGAGATTTAATTCCAAACAGCTGTTTTACTTCGGGGGGAGTAACATGTGATTATGAGACTATGCTTCAGAAAACCAATGGGCATTCCTGTGTACACTAGAAATAGAAACAAAGGCTCACTTCATCGGGGCATTCCGAGGGACCTCTTGGTTCCTGGAAATTTAAATCTGAATTCTTACTTGCCACATTAGATTACTGTTGAATGTAGGACTCCTCAACCCCTAATGGTTGGGGATAAAAGTAAAGATAAAGAAATCCCTTTATCACATGGGTTAAATGATTAAGTAAAGATACAGATACCCCAAATCCTGAAACATTTTGTTGCTAATTTTTTTTTTTTTTTTGAGAGAGGGTTTCTCTGTGTAGTTTTGGTGCCTGTCCTGGATCTCGCTCAGTACTGGCTGGCCTGGAACTCACAGAGATCTGCCTGGCTCTGCCTCCCGAGTGCTGGAATTAAAGGCGTGCGCCACCACTGCTGGGCTGTTGCTAATGTTTTGAAATAGGAAAAAAATCTTGGGTTCTGGCTGTAGCTCATGTTCAAGGGCTGAACAATATCCTACCAAGTGTGAGGCTCCAAGTTTGATTCCCCAGCACTGAAAAATAAATTGTAGAGTGATTTCACAAGTTAAGTGAAAATAATTTCTAGTGAAATCAATTCAGGTTACTTTCCTAACACCAGGCCTTGATGAACATGTAAATATTCTCTAATTTTAACCTGTACAAAAAGTGTTGTGTTGGTTGTGTTCATTCATACCTTTAATCCTAGCACCAGGAAGGCAGAGACAGAAAGATCTGTCTCTCAGAGGCATGATACAAGGAAATGTCAAGTTCAAGGCCAACCTGGGCAATTTAGTGAAGCCCTCTTTCAAAAGTTAATGTGAAAGGCCTGGGGGTATAGCCCAATGATAGAGTGCTTACCTGGTAACCCAGAGTCCAAAGTGCAAACTATGAAGAGAACTTGAAATATAATACATAGAAAAGTATAAATGGTGGGTTCAATAGTATACACCTTTAACTCAGCAGAGGTAGGTAGGTGGATCTATGAACTGTAATATGTAGAAACTTGTAAATGAAGGTGGGCTCAGTAGTGCACACCTTTAACTCAGCAGGGACAGGCAGGGCAGGTGAATCTATTTATGTTCCAGGTCAGTCAGAGTTAGTGTGAGACTGTTTCAAAAAAAGAAAAGAAAGAAAGGGGGAAAAGGCAAAAGTGAATGTTATTTTATGAAGCCATAGTAAAAGTCCTTACTTTGGAATTAAATTATATTAGAATTAAGATTCACAATAACATAAATCCAGACATCAAGAGGGATCAAAATATAATTAATTTTTTCTAAGGTATAACATTAGACATGGGATTTTAAAATATTTGTATTAGGGTATATAAAGGACTAACGATTTATTTATTAGGGTAAGAACATAGATCTGTACATAATTATAGCAAGTTTACATAGAGGAAAATAGAATAGAACTATTTAATTCCAGCCAGATGGTAGTGGTGCAGGCCTTTAATCCTAGCACTCAGAAAGCAGAGGCAGTTGGATCTTTGAGTTGAGGACAGTCTCATCTACAGAGCGAGTTCCAGGACAGCCAGGGCTACACAGAGAGCCTTTGTCTCCAAAAACCAAATGTGTGTATGTGTGTGTGTGTGTGTGTGTGAGAGAGAGAGAGATTCTAAAATAGATTGAAGGAAAAATAACCAAGGGGCTCAGAAAGGATGTGATATAAGTGTGGTTTATTAGGAATGACATGAAATTTCAATGTAAAAAATAGCAAGTTCTGTTTTAACACCCATGCATTGTATTAAAACATCCATCTATGTTACTTCTATAAAGGACATAGTAAGTGTTTTGGATATTTTATTGATAAAACATTATTTTTTTATTTTTGTTTTTTTGAGAAAGGTTCTTACTATGTAGCTTTGGCTGTCATGAAACTCTGTAGACCCTGCTGGCCTCAACTCAAGAGATCTGCCTGCCTATTCCTAGGATTAAAGGAGTGTACTACCACACCCAGCCCTGATAAATATGTAAATATTTTCTAATTTTATCCTGTACAGTAGGTGTTGGACTGGGTGTGGTCAAACACACCTTTAATCTAAGCAGAGAAAGGCAGAGACAGAAGGATCTCTGTGAGTTCCAGGCCACTCTGGTCTCCACAGTGAGAATCTGTCATAAAAATGTGTGAAAATTTATCTATATAGAAACATCTATTTCTTCTTCTTCTTCTTCTTCTTCTTCTTCTTCTTCTTCTTCTTCTTCTTCTTCTTCTTCTTCTTCTTCT